ATGAGAGTGTGGCACCAAGGTGGCCATGGCACCGGGTGGCCACATCGTCATGGTGGCCCTGTTGTCATGGTGGCCCTGTCACCAAGGTGGCCCATCCCCATGGTGGTCCATCATCAGAGTGTCCCATCCCCTTGGTGGCCACGGCACCAGGTGGCCCACCCCCGTGGTGGCCTCATCACCATGGTGGCCCCGTCACCAGGATGACCCAACCCTTTGGTGGCCCCATCCCCAGGATGACCCATCCCCATGGTGGCCATGTCACCCTGGTGTCCCATCCCCTTGATGGCCCGATCATCAGGGTGTCCCTTCCCCATGGTGGCCCTGTCACCAAGGTGGCCCATCCCCATGGTGGCCCCATCATCAGGGTGTCCCTTTCCCATGGTGGCCCTGTCACCAGGATGACCCATCCCCATGGTGGCCATGTCACCCTGGTGTCCCATCCCCTTGATGGCCCGATCATCAGGGTGTCCCTTCCCCATGGTGGCCCTGTCACCAAGGTGGCCCATCCCCATGGTGGCCCCATCATCAGGGTGTCCCTTTCCCATGGTGGCCCTGTCACCAGGGTGTCCCTTTCCCATGGTGGCCCCATCACCAGGATGACCCATCCCCATGGTGGCCCCGTCACCCTGGTGGCCCATCCCCTTGGTGGCCCCATCATCAGGATGGTAAAACAGAAAAAACCACACAGGGGATAGCCATCACGTCACCAGGATGACCCATCCCCGTGGTGGCCCTGTTGTCATGGTGGCCCTGTCACCAAGGTGGCCCATCCCCATGGTGGTCCATCATCAGAGTGTCCCATCCCCTTGGTGGCCACGGCACCAGGTGGCCCACCCCCGTGGTGGCCTCATCACCATGGTGGCCCCGTCACCAGGATGACCCAACCCTTTGGTGGCCCCATCCCCAGGATGACCCATCCCCATAGTGGCCCTGTCACCAAGGTGGCCCATCCCCTTGGTGGCCATGGCACCAGGTGGCCCACCCCCGTGGTGGCCTCATCACCATGGTGGCCCCATCACCAGGATGACCCATCCCCATGGTGGCCATGTCACCCTGGTGTCCCATCCCCTTGATGGCCCGATCATCAGGGTGTCCCTTCCCCATGGTGGCCCTGTCACCAAGGTGGCCCATCCCCATGGTGGCCCCATCATCAGGGTGTCCCTTTCCCATGGTGGCCCTGTCACCAGGATGACCCATCCCCATGGTGGCCCCGTCACCCTGGTGGCCCATCCCCTTGGTGGCCCCATCATCAGGATGGTCATGTCATCAAGGTGCCACATCACCAAGGCATCACGTCACCAGGATGACCCATCCCCGTGGTGGCCCTGTTGTCATGGTGGCCCTGTCACCCTGGTGGCCCATCTCCTTGGTGGCCATGGCACCAGGTGGCCCACCCCCGTGGTGGCCCTGTTGTCATGGTGGCTCTGTCACCAAGGTGGCCCATCCCCTTGGTGGCCATGGCACCAGGTGGCCCATCCCCATGATGGCCCTGTCACCAAGGTGGCCCATCCCCTTGGTGGCCATGGCACCAGGTGGCCCATCCCCATGATGGCCCTGTCACCAAGGTGGCCCATCCCTGTGGTGGCCATGTCACCAGGGTGTCTCATCCCCAGGGTGGCCATGGCACCAGGTGGTCCACCTCTGTGTTGGCCTCATCACCATGGTGGCCCCGTCATCAGGATGTTCCTTTCCCATGGTGGCCATGTTCCCCGGGTGTCCCTTCCCCGTGGTGGCCCCAGCATCAAGGTGGCCATGGCACCAAGTGGCCCCATCACCAGGATGTCCCTTCCCCGTGGTGGAACCCATGGGTGGCCCCGTCACCAGGGTGTCTCATTCCGGGGTGGTGTGTCACCATCGTCAGGGTGTCACCATCGGGGTGTCACCCTCGCCAGGGGTGGCCCCGCCACGGCCACCTCCCACCCCCGCGGTGCCACCTCACCGGGGTGGCCCCTGTCACTGGTTTGTCCCACCCATGGGGTGACCTTGTCCCCAGTGTCCCATCCCGGGGGGGTTGATGTGACCACGGGGTCCCACCACCAGGGTGTCCTTTTCACCGGGGTGTCACCACACGGGGGTGGCCCATCCTGGGGGAGGTGATGTCACCAGGGTGTCCCACCACCCGGGTGTCCCATCACTGGGGGGGTCCTTGTCACAGGGGTGTCCCATCACAGGATGGTTGATGTCACTACGGGGTCCCACCACCAGGGTGTCCTTGTCATGGGGGTGTCCCAACACGGGGGGTGTCCCATCACCAGGGGGTCCTTGTCACCAGGGGGTTGTCCCACCCTGGGGGTGTCCCTGTCACCGGGCGGGTCCCACCACCCGGGGGTCCTTGTCACTGGGGTGTCCCATCACGGGAGGGTTGATGTCCCCACGGGGTCCCACCACCAGGGTGTCATTGTCACGAGGGTGTCCCA